TTTCACCAGTCTTCTTTTTCTCTTTTTTACTTAAATTCAAAAAATCAATTGGTTTATTTAGTGGAAATTAATTATTTATATTAGAAACTTAATAAATGCAAAAATCTTTTCTCTATTTCATATATAAAAACAAATGAACACACTCTTTCTTCAATGATACAAGTCAGCTCAAACTAAGGGGCAATTTTTTGCGAAGCATTCTTGTTTGACATAAGTATAAACATAAGTATAAACAATTGTTTAGAGTTTGCTCCGTGTCCGGAGGTTAACTAAATACCATAAATACCATAAAAAACAAATACAATAAAATGCTGGATCCGCCCCTGATCTATACAGAATTGATCCTATGGTTCTATTGCTGACTTGTTAACCGTTATAACAAAAATAGGTTCTGTCGTAAATTAGATGAAATCTAACTTAGTGTTAACCATTTCCTTTTAGTGATTTTGTTCTCAATAAGTATTATTTTTGTTCTGGTATTGAAAACTGCTGTCATGGTTTTTAATTAATTTTCTGCTAGCTCCCAACGTAATTTGTGTTTGCTTGCAGCCTTGTTAGAGTTTTTTTTTTTTTTTAATAAAAAATTCAGCAAGAAAAATTAATAGTAAAAACCACGTGTTCGACATATATGCTTTGCTGATAACCGCATAGCATATATGCCATTTAAATGATAAGCAGCAGTTAGGTCGTAGCTAGAGGGTTGGACTAAATAGAAGGTAACACGACCATGTTCATTTAAATACAGTATTTTTATTAAATCACCAAGTTTTAATAAAAATAAAATACAAAAGCAAAATCTGACAACTTTTAATTTTTTTTTTGTAAGTTCTATAGTTACTATGTGACTATAGCCACTTATTGCTATAGTGGTATGTCTGTTTTTAGTTAGTAGTTTTAAATATGCGATATATATATATATATATATATATATATATATATATATATATATATATATATATATATATATATATATATATATATATATATATATATGTATATATATATGGTCATTAGTCGCGGCTATTTCATTGTTATTAGTCGCTATAATTTAACGCTTTCAATTTTAATGGGTATTGATGATTTTTGAAAATAATTTTGACTCTCGGTGTAGTTTTGGCACTTTTAAAATATTTTAGCGTGTGCATGACATTTTGTGGACTACGACATATTTCTGTTAAATGGCTATGTCAGTGAATTATGAAAAAACGAAAAATATTAAAATGATAAATTTGGCTTTATTAATCCTTTACAGGAAATTTTTTGGGTAAGTTCGAAAAAAAAAAAAAACTATGCTTCCTCTGCCTCCCAATTTTTTTAGGGAGGGGGAGAAGGACCGGATTTTGACCGGAATGAGTGTATTTTATTAAAATATTTTAATAATTCTATAAATGACTTCTAACATTAATAAAATGGTCACTAAAGCTCAAAATATGATTTTTGCAAACTAAAAAATATATTTTTTGAAAATACTCAGTTGTCGTAATGTATTATACATACATGTTTAAATTTTCTTACAAGCTTTTTGAAAACAATTTACAAGATTATTACAAGATTTTGCTGTGTAAATTTTTTTATATAAATTTATAAATAACTTTTAATTACAAATAAACTTTATAAATTCATAGAGTCGAAAAACTTATTGCGATAACTGTACAATGTTTTGTTTTCACATAAATAAATAAATGTTTTCACAAAGATGTCTGGCTATGAAAACAGCTGTTTAACAAAAAGCACCTAAAACATTTGAAGTTATACTTTTATCGTATTTGAATTTTGTTTAAAACACAACTCATAAGTATTTATAACAAACTTGAAAAGGTTTGTTGCTTGTAATGTTTCAGTATTATTAGATTAAAGTTCATTTTTGAAATTCAGGCAGTTAAATGAAATTCAACTAAACTTCACAAATATCAAATTTAAGTAATAAAGCCTTTGGTTCGGAAATAATAAAAAACCTAATAACACCTTTGGTTAAACAAAAGACACTAAAATATATGGTTTGGTCTGCCCAACTAGTATAACAAATATTGAATTTTTGCAATTTTTTTTAGAAGAAACTGAATATTAGAAAAAAGAAATTAAAACGCAGGTGCTTTATAACACTTCAAAATTGTATCAATCAAACATTGTGTTAAACTCAGTAATCTAGATGAAACTCAGATAGTTTAGCAAAGAAGAAGCGATAACCAAGCTAGAATAATTTGAAATGCAATTTTTAGGCTTGTTTAAAGTATATTTGGAGGTGTTGATTATTAATATTTCAAACTATAGAGACAAAATCTTTTAATGCTTGAATAAGATTTAAACTATAAAAATTATCATTATTACTTGCTTGCAAAATTGTGTAATCAAAAAAGTTATATTAAAAACATGTCTTGTTATACACAGTGCAACAATAAAATCAAAATTTGTTATAAACTTTAGAAGAAGAAGCAGTAGCAGAGGCTGCACCATCAATGATATTCTTGGAGACAAAAAACCACAGGTATAAAAAACTTTCGTAAAGTATCTATGCCACAATTTCACATTTCATAACACCCAAAGAAAAATCAGTAATAGCTTTTATTAAAATACTAAATAAACAAGTTTTTCTTTTATGTGGTTCATCATTGTTCCTATTACGATTATCATGATTCTCATAAAGGATAAACAATATGGCTAATTAAAATTTATACTTACTAAGTCTAAAATCTTCTTGATTATCAAAAAAAACCAAGGGACAAATACTAGTCAAAAAAATGTATATACAGTATAATATTAAAACTAATATATTATTAAAAATACTTGCTGATGGGAAGATCAAAAATTTTTAAAAGAATCTTAATTTTCTTTTGAATTTTATAATTCATTCTTATTCTAAATGTGTGCATAATTATAATTCCATAACTCCACTTATAATTTAACAAAATAAAATAAGGTATGTCAATTTAAGTTTTTAATTAAGTCAGTGGCGTTCCTAGTTATGGTGTCACCCGGGGTGGCAAATAAGATGTCACACATATATTATATGTAATTATTTTTATATACGAAATTATTAAAGCAGTATTTAGAAACGTTGACACATGTAGTTTTAAACCTTGTTTTCGACAATAATAATTTAGTGTCTATAACTCTCTATAAATAATTAAGAATATGTTTTCGAATGTTTTAGTTCGAATTAGATGGTTTTGATACTCTGCAATGTGATGCAGTACTAACATTCAAAAAATATACGAATAAGAATAAGAAAGCTGATAAAGTGAAAAACGGTTAAAATCGCACCCAGACAAAGTTATCCAAACCCAAACAAAATTTGAGTATGTTTTCATTATGAAGAATTTTTTTAGACGACATTAAGTCTTTATTTCATTTTGTTTATATTATAAGAAGAAAGCTAAGCGATTATATTTTCTAAATAATGATAACTATATCTTTCAGCATTCAGCATTTTGTAGGTCGTGTAAATAAATACGCACTTATTTTTTTATGTAAGATTGTTTAATTATAAACCAAAATAAAAAATAAGATATTAATAAATTGGGTGTCACCCAAAAGTGGATGACACTCGCCCCCCTCCCCCATATGGACGCTACTGAATTAAGTTATTTAACTCAAAAGTTAGTTTAACCTAAGGGTCTGGGTCTGCTCGTATTCTCTCGGAAGTTCGGTATGAAACGGTAAAAAATGTGAGTATTCGTTTCGTTCCGTTTTTACAAAACAAAAAATATCATTTTGTTTTGTATCGCATTTATACGAAACACGTAAATCTTGTTTCGTTTCGTATCATGTTGTTACGAAACGTGAAATTATTTATTCGATTTGTACCGTTATTTACGAAACACAATAAAATTATTTCGTTTCTTATCGGTTTTTACGGAATATTTCATAACTCCCCGCCCAAACAGATATTTCACGATTCCCATGCCCTCGAGCAATACATAAACTTTTACGTTAAATACTTACTAACTCAATGTTTCGTTAATCAAAGTTTAACTAAAAAAATGTATTAACAAAGCAATGCAATAGCATCATTTTCATAAAGCTTAGGGCATCTAACGAAGTTAAAAAAAGATATTGTCTTCTGTAGGTAGGTTTTAGTAAAACTGATGAACTTAAAGTTAAAATTTTATTACAGTAAAACCGTTTTACTGTAATAAAATTTTAACTTTAAGTTCATCAGACATAAATTATGTATTTGTTTATAAACTCGCATGAAGAGTTTGAAATCATTGTTTGAATTAAATACTTCAAATTATATTATATAACATTTTAAATGCGATATTGTTGTGTTAACTTGAAATATTTTGCAAAACTAATTAATTTATTGTTTAAAAACCATAGTAATTCTCAATCATATAATCATGCCTATAAAAGCTACAATTTTATGGAATTATTTCAATAAAGTTACTGTGTCAGGTGTTAAGTGTGGGGAATGTAAAAAGTGTCAAATCCAAATCAAGTTAACTGATGGATCCACTAGTGGTATCAGGTACCATCTGAAAACAAAGCATCCCTCTGACTACGCTACGATGTTAAGAGCCCAAATTGAACTTGAGCGCCAAAGAGAAGAAGATATTAAAGAAATTACAGAAGCTGCCTTCGAACTGAATGACGCATACAGTAAGTTTCTAATTATTTTTCATAAAATAATGTTTTTCCTTGTATAAAGATAATTTTCATGTTTAACTTTAATTTTTAATTCGTTTTTTTAGATCAACGATTACAAAAAGGTTTATCTAAATGTGTTAATGGGGGAACTATTGGGAAATATTCTTCCCAATCAGGCAGGCAATTGGAGACAGACATGGTAATCATGTCATACATTGCCACGTCAAGTAGTCCATTCACTCTAGTAGATGAACCATGCTTCAAAGAAATGGTGGAACATTTAAATCTAAAAGTAATTGTGAAACATTCCTCGACTTTTTCAAGGTACAAGCTGCCATTGCTTTATGAAAACGTTATGGATACTGTGCAAAACCTAATTGAAAAAAAAGTTTCCACTTGTCAACAGATGGCTATCACCACTGATGGTTGGACCTCTAGGTCACAGGATCCATACATGACTCTTACGCTTCACTATATCAATAGTCAGTTTGAACTGAAAAAATATGTTCTCAACTTTGACAATTTCGTGGGAAGACACACTGGTTACCACATTAGCAAAGTAATTTTTCTTATGTTGATATAATTTGTTCTCGTAAATATAAATTTGTAAGTGCAAAAATAATTTAAAAAAGTAAAACTTATCCTTCCGCTAGAATAGCGTTTCTTCTAGGATTTTGTCAATTATTGAAAGAATTTATAATTTATTGTAAAACCTAAAAGCTGCATAAGTCATCTTATAAATCATTAATTTTTCTTCATTCTTGTTTAAGGCTCTGGAAGAAATGATTCAAAAATATCCGGTATTGGACGCCGTGCCCAAGAAAGTCATTGTCCACGATGCGGCGGCAAACATGAAACATGCTGTGTCAATCATGAACAAAACAAAATATGAATCACTGTTGTGTGCAGACCACCTACTAAACACTAGCCTACTACATGCTACCAATGAAGTGCAAGAAGTCAAAGAATGCATAGATATTGCCACACAACTATCTAGCATAGTCCACAGATCCACCTTAGCTTGTCAATTTATTGAAAAAGAGTGTATGTTGCTCCGTGTAAACTATGTTAAAATCATTGCTCCGGTAAAAACCAGGTGGAATTCTAACTGTTTTATGCTGGAGTCAATCCTTAAACTTAAAGATGTGTTGATTTCTCTTAGAGAAAAAGATGCACTAAATAACAACCCACTACAGAACGTTATTCCAAGTGACAACCAATTTTCACTGATGGCTTCACTGATGCCAGTCTTAAAAAAAATGAAGATTATGTCAGATTGCATGTCCAAGGACACTGAAACAGTGCTTCATCATATGCTAACTATGCTTTATAAAACTGACAATTTTCTTCATGACCACATTGATATGGAAAACAGAGAAATAGTTAATGCTTTTTGTAAAAAACTAAGTGAGCATTTACACCTAACCACGCGATTCAATGAACATAGAAGATACAACCAACACTATGCCTTGGAAACCTTCTTCATCCGTACTTTAGAGGTTATAAGTTTTATTTCTTGGTAAAAAAAACATTCTTTAATATTCTTTATTTGTTAAAAGACTAAATTTAACAGTTATTGTTTATGATTTCAGGATATATGCTTAGACATTACGGTATCTTCGAAGAGTTCACCAGAAAAGTCATCAACGATCATCCATCGTCGGACGCTGTTTCGATCAGTGAAAAAAATAATCATAAAGCTACACAAGTTAAAATGCCAGTTGGTGTGGATGAGTGCGACGATTTACAAAATATAGAGATTGAACAGGGTAATAATAACCACACCATTAGTCAAAATGTACCGAAAATTGAAAGGGAGTTTGAATCTTTCCACGCTATGCCTCGTGTTGAAGAAAAGCATAAAGTTGATGTGCTGAAATGGTGGAAGAAACATGCCTCTACTTTGCCATTGTTAGCACAATTGGCAAGAAATTTGCTCTGCATTCCAGCTGCATCAAGCTGTAGTGAGAGAGTGTTCAGCGCCAGCGGTGGAATTATAAATGATAAAAGACACAGTCTTTCCACTCAGACAGCAAAGCAATTGACTTTGATTAAAGTCAATTATGATCTTGTCTGTCCTCACATGACCTTGAAAATTATAAGCGACGCTGAAGAAGCCCTGGACCCCCCAGCATTAACTCCAGTTAGAACACCTCCCAAAAATCCTATTCCTAAAGCAGTTTTTTCAAATAACCAAAAAAGGTTATTGTTCAAAACAAAAAACGTTTCAACAACGCCATTATGTTCTTCTTCTTTACCATTAACACCAACACTTTCAGGAATCAAAAGAAAAACAATGGAAATTCCAGAAGAATCCGAAACAACATCATCCGAAAAAACATCCGAAAGTGACACTCAACAAGTATTAAAATAAAAATATTTTACTTTTTATTGTGAAATTTTAAAATCGTAAAATGTAATTGTCTAAATAAAAACTGATTTTTCGTAAAAATCGCAAATGTGTGCTTAAATTGGTACAATATAAAAGTAAACTACTTTTTTATTTTATGCTAGCCCTATCTGTCGTAAAAACATTAGTATTTCTCGTAAAACTCAGAAATTTCTTGTTTGTTTGTTTCGTTTTTTACCGTTTTATTTCGGAAAAAGTTTAATCTTATTTCGTTTCGTACCGGTTTTTTCAAAACAAAAAATGTGTCCCGTATTTATCACGAAACCAGAAAATTGTATTTCTTTTCGTACCGTATTTTGCGAAAAAAGATAAAAATTGTTTCGTTTCGTAACGGTTTTATCGAAACGATATTTTTCATCGTTTTGTTTCGTTTCGTCTTGTACCGTTCTGAGACGCAGACCCTTAGATTAACCTCCATCAAAATATAGTAGTTATTATTTTTTAACAATCGCATATCATGAAACCGATATACTATTTTCCGGTTTTTAATCTTTTAGAACTTGAACCGTTTTCCGGTTTTTAATTTTTTTTCAACCGTTTCTGATAATTAACCGTGCATAATTTATTTTAGTTTGGTTTTAATAGTTACATATAGTAAGATTATTTTTCAACAATATAATCAAGTTGAAAAACCTTAATTTAACATTTTTGGGTACGTCCAACGACGTAGCAGACATCCCCTAGACACGCCCCTGAAATTATAAGATAGAAATGTTTGTAGCGAAAAAACCCAGACCAAAGACTCTTTTTTTTATTAAAAAAATCATCTCAAAATCACAATCGCTTGTCCAAATTTGCATAAGATCTTAAATTAATATGTTTTTAGGTGAAATGAACATTATAGTTTAACAATATGATCTGTTCTGATCGTTTATTGGCAATTTTTCTTAATTATAAGCTTTTCTTTCTTGGTCGGAATTCTAGTATTTATTGTGAAAATTTATAGAAATATTGTGTTTTGACTACTATATATAGTTAATATACGTCAGAACCGATTAGAACTAGGATCAGTAGTAAATAAAGGAACTTTTTCAAAAGATTTTGATTAAATTCATGTTAACGCCGATGAGCGGAATTGATCTAAAGACTCGAAAGTAGTATTCTTTAGATTTTAGAATGTAGTATTCTTTAGATTTATTACGAGTAGTAAAAAGGTTTTGAAAATTATATAAAAAAGAAAACTTTCTTGAAATATTAAAAAAAAACCTAAAGTAAAAAAAATTATACCATCTAAAGACTTTGTTTCGACTTAATACGCTGATAAAATCATGCTAATTCCAAATAAAAGTATTCAAATATTTGTAAATCGACTTACCGAGATATTTGTAAATCGACTTACCGAGATATTTGTAAATCGACTACACCGAGAATCGCAGCGGTTATATAACCTGGTTATTCTAAATATATCTTAACCCCTGTAATTTTGCGTTTGAAATGTCGATTTAAATATTCCTATTTAAATTAGCGACTATGATGCCTCAAGAATATCATTTTATTTGTTGTTATTTATGTTCTAGAAACCTTTATTATGCAACGAAAATGCTTAAAGTATTGTCTTTTAATTGTTTTAATAGTTTTTATTGCTATTGTTGCGATTTTATATTCCAGAGTTTATTTAAAAACAAATAGTCCATATTTAACTTATTTAAGTAAAGGCTTTGACGGTTAGTATTCATGTTCTTTAAATGATTTTTAAGAATATTTTTATCTTATATTATTTCTTTATGTATTTTTTATTAAACTTTTGATTAAGATTTATTAACTGTTCAGAAAGAAAAAAAAAAGAAATTTTGATAAAATCAACGAACAATCTAAAGGAGTTACTAATTATTGTAATTTGTGGAGGTTTAAACTACTTTCACTTTGCAATAACTTTCGATTTATAAAATTGAAATGTTATTGCAAAGTAAAAGTTAAATATATTAAAGTAAAAGTTTATTTGATTGATTATGGTACAGCCAAGAATGTTGTTTGTCTACTTTCATATTTGTACAAAAATCAAACTGTGTGTCTGATGGCAGAAAGTAAACTCTGATAGCTTTATTAAAAGCAATAGGGTGTGACAAGGTGGAATTTTTTTGCAATTTATGTTCAGGCTTTACTTACAAAAATTGATTTTCATTATTACAAATCTGCATATTGGATGTAACATAAGTGGTAATTTTTAAAATATTTGGCATATGTCAAATGATATTGTCCTAATTGCACCACCTTGGTTTGCACTGCAAAAAATATGTTTAGTGCATTAAATGTTAAAGCTACTGCTATTAGTATGCCATTTAATACAAAGAAAACAGCTTGCATTGTATTTAATCCAAAACAAAAATGTAAAATTGTTTCAAACAACTTTCTTCTATTACCTTAGCTGGTTGTGAATTAGTTTGTGCTAAAAACTTTAATTGTCTAGGTTTCAAAATTGAAAATAATTTAACTGATAATGCTGATATGAATTGAGAGATTAAATATATATATACATATTTACAAAATTGAATACAAATATTCTTATTAGACCTTTTAAGAGATGCTTGGTTAAGGTATAAACACATATATTTAAGACATACTGCCATTGACAATTGCATTGACATTAAAAAGTAATGGCATTGTTTGTTGGATGCGGTTCTATGGCTAAATTTTATTGTAAGTATTTTGTTAAATGTTTAACTTTGATACAAGAAATGTGCTTAAATATTTATTGGCTAGAACAAGTACTGAAGTGTTACAAAAATAGCTGTACAAAAATGTTACATAGAGTAAAATATGCTTGCAAGTTGATTTATTATTGGTCTCAAATAATTGAAAAAAAAAACTTTGTTTGAAATTTAAATTCTTAATATTTAGACTTTAAAAAATAACAAAAATAACATAAGAAAATAACACTTAGAAAAATAACAAAAACAACAAAAATCAAATTACCATTATTTTTATTATTATTATTATTGTTATAATTATTTACTTATTTGGTATCATGGGTAACACATTGAATTCATTTTGGTTTATGTCCTGATTTTATAGAATTATATTGTTCTAAAAATAATTGCAGATTATTTGAATTTTTATCTTGCACAGATCAGTTGTGGTCTATTAGTCTAATATTCTACCCTTTTGCAAAAATACTAACAATATTCCACCCATCTAAAACCTGCTGAATAAATAAGGATGTTTCCTGAGCTCTTTTTAGTTTCAAAGTAGCTACTACTTTCTCTTTAAATATTTTTAAAACATGTTGCACATTCTGTAGTTGAAGTCTAGAAGGATAAACAGCAGCATGGGATATAGAAACTGATTTCAAATTGTTATCTTTTTCATAATGATATAGGTTTTCGACATCACAAAAAAAACCAATGGTTTTATTGTCAAAAGATAACTTTTGACACTTTTCAGAAATCCAGTTGTTACGCAAACATTTGAAAAGATGAACTATATAAAACAAAAAAAACCAAACACACTGATCATCTAATGGATGAATTGCCTGACAGTCAATAATTCTTTTGAAACAGATCCTAAAATAATGGCACCATGGAAAACCTTATACACAATGTACGTGAGACCGCACTTGGAATTAGCAATTCAAGCGTGGTCTCCCCATCTCAGGAAAGATATTGAAAAATTCGAACAAGTTCAGCACAGGGCAACTAAACTCATCACATAAATCAAGAATGATTTGTACGAAACTCGTCTTCAGAAACTTGGTATTACAACACTAGAAACCCGTAGGACAAAGGGAGATCTCATTCAAAATTTCAGAATACAAAACGGTTTCAAAGTAGTTTCATTTTTTCATAAACAACAACTTGCACCATCTCTATCAACATACAATTTACGTGGCCATAACCAACGATTGGAAAGACAAAACATTAATAATTGTGAAGAAAGAGCTCATTTCTTCACTAACAGAGTAGTAAACCCTTGGAACGCACTCACGCCGAATGCGATCAGGGCTCAATCCGTAAATGCCTTTAAAGATCATATAGATGGAAAAAGAGCATCTTCGGTCATTTTATTAAATGACCTTTCAGCATAGAGGGGATTGGTTATCACCTCTTCATAAAATATTTTAACCTTTTTTTTAAAACAAAAACTCTACTAATCAATTGTTATTTTACTTAAATATTTTGTTTCTGAAATAAAACAAATTCAAATTCATGTTTTTCAACTATAACAGCAGCTTCTTTGTAACACTAAATTAATACATTGATGTTTGTTTGTTAACAGAAACCATTAAACTAGGTCTACCATCTAAGCATTTCATTATAACAATAACATAGAAGTTGCTTTAGATTCTAGATCATATTTTGCCATCCCATTTAAAACTCTGCCTGAATAAACAACGGTCTGACTAAAAATTTATGAAGTTAATTATAGTTGCAGTTATAAAAAGACTCAACAGCGAAACAGTAATCAGCTATAGAAAAGCTTTTGTTATACAATAGTTTGTCTTGTAACAAAATTTAGTTTCTTTTTCTTTATTTCGAATTCATATTCTGAAAAAATATTTGTCACCTTTTTAATAAAATTATTAACATGCAGATTAAAGATGGAAAACCCGGGATCTCAAATTCCTGAGATTTCATTCAAATTTTTTATCCCAAAATTAGTCTCTAAAATTTACCAGGATTTCGGTATTGCATATAAAAAGTAAAAATCAAAAAGTTTAAGCCTAATTTGTAATTAAATAATTTATACATCATGTAATGTAAATATAGACTTTGATATTGTAGCTGTAGCTGTTTATTCTCTTTGTAATGTTTTCTTTTTTTATTCTCTTTCTGTCTTTTATCGAAAGTACAAACTAAAAACATTTTGCATATCTGCAAAATATGTACAGTTAAACATAAAAAAATGTATATACAGTATAATATTAAGACTAATATATTATTAAAAATACATAAAATTTTAGCTCTTGCTGATGGGAAGATCAAAAATTTTTAAAAGAACCTTAATTTTCTTTTGAATTTTATAATTCATTCTTATTCTAAATGTGTGCATAATTATAATTCCATAATTCCACTTATAATTTAATTACAAATCTGTGCTTGATTTAAAAAAGTTTTTTAACATTGGTTTAATTAATGTTCTGTATTAAGTTATCAAAATACAGAAGGATTATTAAATTGCAAAAGTTTACTTAACGTGTGGTGTAGTAGTAAAACACTTGCCTTATAAACGATAGGTTCCCAGTTGGATTTCCACCACTTCCCTGTTAGTACCGCACTCAATTTGTTTATCAGTGCAGCTGCCTTATTCGTCAAGGTTTCTGTTTCAGAGTTATAGAGTTTAGAGAGAGTTATAACCTCAACTAAAATAGCCTCATCGTCTCTAGTGGCCTTTGTGGCCTTTAGAAGTTTAATTAAAATTAGAATATATTGGAGATTCAAATGATTTGTTGTTAATTAATAAAACACCTGAAGTTAAAATTAAGTACCAAATGATTGGACCTATTATAAAAAAATTCAAGAAAATTGTGAAAATGTTTAAAAAGTCCCCAAAGAAAAATGAAAATTTATTACAAAAGTGCGTAAAAATTAAGTTTGAAAAGAATGAGCATTCTCAGCTGCTGGGTTTTTGTTTTTAAAAAATCAAATATGATTAAGCGATAAAATGATTGACACTTTGATTTTTTAGGGTAGTACTTCAAAAATAAATATAACTCTTGCATATTCATGTTTATATTATTTTTAGTTATTTTTATTTATACTGTATTATCATTTTAAAGAGTTATTTTATAATTTAAATAATTTAGGCTCATTAATGAAGTATTTTATTTATATTATCATAAAATTAATCATTTTTAAGTGTTTGATAAGTACTTGAAACATTCTTCTTATGCTTCACTTTCTACAATAGTTTTTTTTTTTCTATTCAATTCCAGGATTTCCCTAGGACAAATTTCTCAATCCTGAAATCCCGAAATTGAAAATGTCCGGAGTTTTTGCCATCCCTAATGGTAAGTTTCCACTCATCCGTTCTTCTACGGCAACGGGATAAGGAAGGGAAAAATAATCATGTGAGCATGCATAGTTTTTCTTTGGATAAATTGAAACTTATACTATACATTCCCACATGATTATTTTTCCCATTCCTGTTCCCAAGAAAAGAAATGGGAAAGGAAAAACATTCCTATATTAATGAATGGCAATCTTCTTACTGAGTCCTCCTCTTTACGTCTTCTTGGATTATCGCTTACTACTGACCTTTCATGGAAACCATATATACAATCAATTGCTAAATTAGCTTCTGCTAAGGTTGCTTCTCTTTATCGTGTTCGCCATTTCCTTACTTCTGATTCCATTCTCTACCTCTGCAAATCTCTTATTTGTCCCTGTATGGAATACTGTTGTCATATTTGGGCTGATTCTTCTAATGATTCACTTTCTCTTCTTGACAAGGTCCAAAAACGCATTGTAAATGTTGTTGGACCTGGACTATCTGCTAAGCTTGAGCCTCTTTCCCATCGTCGTAAAGTTGCATCTCTTTCTCTTTTCTACAAACACTATCATGGTCACTGCTCAAAGGAGTTATCAGCTCTAGTTCCATCAACTAAAATTCATTCTCGTTTTACTCGTCATTCAGCTAAGTCTCATTTGTTTATTGTATCTGTCCCTGCATGCTCTAAAAACTTTTATTCATCTATTTTTTTTGCCCGCACTTCAATCCTTTGGAACTCTCTCCCGTCTTCATGTTTTCCTGACTCATACAACTTTCAACTTTTCAAGTCTTCTGTCAACCGTTTCCTTGCTCTATAACTCTGTTCTTTTTTTTCCTAGTAACTCCCAACTTAATAGTGGTTCCTTGCAGCCTTGTTGGGAGTGAATGCAAATATAAAAAAAAAACTGATGGGTGGAAACTCCCCTTGATGCAGATTAAATTATAGACTATATTAATAGCTTCAAAAAGCTGCGAGTGGAAGACCAAACTATGGGTAAGATTCAACAGATTGCTTAGTGGATTGCTATACCATGTTTAAAGCAGAAAATGTTAATGGTGAACATAATGTACACTTATTGTAAACAATAAATGTCATGAAGCTCTCCTTAAATTCCTTTAGCATAAAAATGCGTATGAATTTATCTTTTTGCCGTGTAGAAGAGATTTTAAAGGGGGGGATGACGTGTCTATTTTTTGCCGACTAAAGCCCCAAAATAAAAAAAAGGTTCTTGTTTTTCAAAATTTCCCGACTGCCAACAATAGATCTAATTTTGCCGATTCCAGTTTTCAATATGCCAACTGATAAAATTTGTAAGCGGGCTAGACACCCCTTTATACCCCCCTCAGGACAGCTCTAATGCTGATCCTCAGGCTTAGATTGGCATAGCACTGACTGTGGTGGTTGTAAACAAGAAAAACGAACATTAAAAATACTTGGTGCACATTGTGGTTAAGTATAGCCACCAGGAAGCTTAATCATTTTTGTATTTTTTTAATAAAATCTTTATGTCAAGGAAGAACGGTAATCCATTTCTGTTTCTCAACTTCATCTTTAGGTAATTTAAAAACATGACACCTATTAAGTTTACTTTACATTTAACAACAGATTTTCAAAAAATGATACTGCAACATTAGAAACACTTAAACTTTGATCAAAATAATGTCCTTCGCTAGTGTAGTCAGAAAATTTACACTTCTTGTCATAATAAATCTGAATTTTCAAAAAACTGAGACCATATTTATCTAAAATTAGATGCTTAAAATGACAAATCTTATGAAGCTTCTTTTCATATATATATATATATATATATATATATATATATATATATATATATATATATATATATATATATATATATATATATATATATATATATATATATATATATATATATATGTATATATATATATATATATATATATATATATATATATATATATATATATATATATATATATATTTTAACATCTTCGCTTCCAACAAGGTTGCAAGCAACCACTGATTAGTGTTGGAAGTTACTGGAAGAGAAAAGATGAAGATAGTAGAGCAAGATAACGATTGACAGACGACTTAAAAGATTGGAAATTATATGAATCAGGAAAGCAAGATGGAGGAAGTGAATTCCAAAGAACTGATTTTCGAGAAAAAAAACTAGATGAATAAGAATTTTTGGAGCACAACAGTAACAGAAAAAGAATGAGACTTTATTGAATGACGAGTAACACGAGAATGAATTATATATATATATATATATATATATATATATATATATATATATATATATATATACATATATATATATATATATATATATATATATATATATATATATATATATATATATATATATAAATATATATATATATATATATATATATATATATATATTTATATATATATATATATATATATTATACCAAACTCAGGTGTGTATATATGTATATATATATATATATATATATATATATATATTTATATATATATATATATATATATATATTATACCAAACTCAGGTGTGTATATATGTATATATATATATATATATATATATATATATATATATATATATATATATATATATATATATATATATATATATATATATATATATATATATATATATATATATATATATATTTATTTATTTATATATATATATGTATATATATATATATGTATATATGTGTATATATATGTATATATGTGTATATATATGTATATATGTGTGTATATATATATGTATATATATGTTTATATATATGTATATATATATGTGTATATATATGTATATATATGTGTATATATATATATATATATATATATATATATATATATATATATATATATATATATATATATATATATATATATATATATAAATATATATCTATATATATAAATATATATATATATATATATATATATATATATATATATATATATAAATATATATCTATATATATAAATATATATATATATATATATATATATATATATAAATATATATAAATATATATACCAAATCCAGTCAGCAGTCTCAAAAAATTTATTTAATTAGTAATTGTGCATTATTTTACAGATACTTTGAAGAAACGCTGCTTTTATCGTGTGTTTGGTGACAGTTTACTATTAATCAATTTTAACTTTCCGTTTTACAAAAATATTGATGTTTTAAATGATCTTTATGATGGAGTTTTTGGGAAAATTGTTTTTTGTGGTCCTCCTCCAAAAATAGAGTTTACAAAAAAACCAGATATTGAGATTGATTCAATTAATGGCTACTTCAGCTATCATTGTTTGGCTTTAGCTATTAATAAATACCCAAACTACCAAGGTAAAACATCGTTTTTGTTATGATGTAGTTTTAATACTAATTTGCTTGTAGACAAATATATATTAAATACATATTCATAGTTGATATTAATTGTAGTGTAGCTTGTTTCTTGGTGTAGTTAGTTGTTGTGTAGTTTTTAATAACTTCTTCTCTTTTTTCTTCGCTTCTTATCTTTTTTCAAATATTTTTGTAGTACAAAAACTTTAATTGAAACAACAATTATGAACCAAACTACGTTATCTTTGTTTAAACTTGAACATTATCTTTAAAACTATAATTCAAAATAAAATTTTACTATTTTCATAGTTTATATAAATAAAAAATGATGGCTGTAATACCGTTCTGCAAATATGTCTTAATATAGAGATACTTAAAAAAAGGCCATTGTTAAATTAAGTTTAAAAATGTTTAAAAAATAACTTTGTTTATATGCACAATATGGTACACTATGCACGTCATGAATAATGTTATTGTTCTACATGTTACTGGTAATACATCCATATTCAACTTTTCTTTTTAGGTCTTCAGGATATTGATTTTTGAAGCGTTGAAGTTAACTATACCATCATAGGTTTCTTTCTCCTTTGTAAAATTTGATTTTTTTTTTTTTAAACTTATCAAATATCAAACAAAACTTCACATACACAAAAAAAGCTAATCAGATATCAAACAAAATTCCACATACATAAAACTATTTATGTTTGCATAATAAAAATTTTTAGAATTGATTAAGTAGTGTGGGAGAATATTTGATTTTCAAACTGTTCAATTTTTAAGCCCTGCTTATATGTTAAGTTAAATAACCATAATTTACACTTGTGTGGTTCACACTTGTGTGGTTCACACTTGTGTGGTTCACACTTGTGTGGTTCACACTTGTGTGGTTCACACTTGTGTGGTTCACACTTGTGTGGTTCACACTTGTGTGATTCGCACTTGTGTGGTTCGCACTTGTGTGGTTCGCACTTGTGTGGTTCGCACTTGTGTGGTTCGCACTTGTGTGGTTCGCACTTGTGTGATTCATACTTGTGTGGTTCACACTTATGTTTTATATTAGCATATAGTATTATGGAAGATTTTAAAGCAATTATTGACAGTTAGATACCATATCTGACTTTGAGTTGATCAAATCAGATTGATTATTTTTATTGTAATTCTACATAATATAGCATGGTTGGATTGTAATGAATAAGAATTGTAACTAAAGTTGATGTTTAGTAATCTATAAACACAATACCTTATTGGTTGACAACGTTTGAAAAATAGTTGTTATTGTAATTTTGAACTGTATCTTGACAACATAATGTGCGTACAAGGGGGAAGGAGGTTTAAAATCAGTGGTTTTACTATGTATGTACTTTTGGGTGCCCCTAAGCTTGTGATTTCTTTTGCTTGTCCTTAAGCTTTTCTGATTTATCCTTTATATTTTTTTATTTGAATTCAAAACTGTTTTTTTCTCATATGATTTTTGAAATAATACAAGATTTTTTTAAACAATTTTTTTTCTCTCAGTGGTTATGTCTATTATGAGAAATCATAGTTAGATATGAATCATTTTTTTTAAAAATTTCAAAGTTACTTGGCGTTGCTCAGGATGCTTATATACTTTTAAAAATTTATAGATTGTCTTTGAAAGTTTTAGTAAACTTACAAAAATATAGGGGGCTACAAAAAGCTCCATTTTTAGACAGTTCACAAAGTGATAATTCATACTATACTTATATTCAAATGTTATGTTAGGGGTGATAATATTAAAATTTAAAATGAAATAAAACCTTTTCAAATTTTAAAATAAGTATTTATCAATCTGGTAATCAATTTTATAAACAACATTTTTTTTTTAAATATTAAGTTTTTAGGTTTATATATTAGAATTTTTTTAGGGTATTTTTATGGTAATGATGATATGATTATCAACTGGTGGACAATGGTCGACTTAGACCGTCAAAAGATTTGGCATGGTACACAGATTGTGGATTTTTCACAAGATGCTTTTAGTAGCCAATCAAACGTTTGGATATGGTGGGACACGTTCATGGGTCTTCAAGCATGTCAAATGTACTTCAAAAGCTTAAAAAAGCTCGCTGAAAGTAATAATAATCTTGAAAACTATAAAATATTCTTGAAAAATGGAAATGGCAAACCAAGATGTGGAAAAGGTTGGGCCGATTTTTTTTATATACCCGGCCGTTTGGCTAAAGATTTTTTTGCACTTTCAAACATTGCGTATTCATCAAAGTTATATTTAGAAATAGCGACTCATAATATACTGCGCAGTTTAGCTCTTAGCGAAAATTTCGTAGTGTTGGCCGGTATATATCTACCTGATATTGGTTATGCAAATTACTCTGTGCAAGCATTTTGGAGTGTATACAACCATCAAGTGCCAATAATTCATCCTTACAAATTTTATGTTAAAGATGCTGCTGAGTCAACTTATATGCTTAAAACTCAAGTTATATCTTTTAAACAGCTTCTCACAGATTGTTCTTATTCAAATTATACTAAACGTTTATTTCAGAAATAACTAAATGTTGTTTTGAGTAGCATGTAAGAGTTTTTACGACTCCGATGTTGGCGTTTATGTTAATATACTTACCAACCCCACTTTCAGAGCAGCAGGTTACCATCAAACTCAAATTGTTCATTTACTGAAATCACAGTTAGGAAGTTATTTATATAAGTTAATCTTAAATTGTTATCATAGTTACTAATTTAAATTCGAGAAAAAACTTTCAGAAAGTATTAAAAGTCGAACCATGTGATATTGAAAACTGATTCTTTTTATATTGACGTTTAAATTTTATTCAGAAAATTTTGAGCATCAAAATATTAGTTTTGTCATAAATATTTCGCTGACACGTTTTTTATTTTCTTTCAATCTACCGCTGTACTGTTTCTAATTTAAAACTAGTCTGAATTTTATTTTTCTCGTTAAGATTTTCGCTGAAGACTTAAAAGTCTTGTTCAAGAGAACACGATTCTCTGAACGGAAAACTGAATAGAAAACACGATTCTCTGTGACAATCATTTTACAAGGCCGTCTTCCTTATGTTTCGTTAATATAGTTAACAAGACTAGAAACTTTAGATTATAATAACGCACGCTTTAATCACTGAGCCATGCATGCTGCGCCTTTAATTTTTTAACTTTATCTTAAAACTAGTTTAAGCGACTTCACGGTTCTCCAATACTACAATTTTGATTGCTAATTTGGAAACGTCAAAGTTACAATTAAATTACCATTAAATTAAGACTTTTAAAAATCTATCTATAACATTCTGTTATCCAAAATCGGACCAAATGTAACAATTGTTTAAACTTAATCTTTTAGCAAAAACTAATCATCCACATTGGCTCACGCTGAAAAAATAAATATTTGTATAAATAATAACTTGATAATACCAAAAGTTACCTGCTTTTCTGTTTTTAAACAAAGCTCGTGAGTTGATTAACTCGCTTTCTCAAAATTTCTAGTGGCAGAGTTACCGACGTAACAATGGTACAAATATTATTTTTTAAAGCAGTATTAAAATATCAAAATTTCACATAAAGGTCTAAGTTTTGAAACTTGAAAATTACATTTGACTTAATACATAACCTAATTACGCTAGACTACAATTAAAACATTTCTTTTAACAAAATCTTCATCGACTCCATTATATATTGGTCTTAATTACTACTGTAATTAGTTTATTTAAAAAAATATATATTTATTTAGGTGCCCCAAGAAGACCTAATGGTCTTGTCACAGAACACCGCGGAAGTGCATTTAACCAGGAAGTTCACGCCTCCTTACCGTGGTGCAAAAATATGCATAGAGCTCTTTTCGAGCCTGGATCTCCTGCTTATAAAGCAAGCACTGTAACCACTGCGCCACGGTCGCTATCAAAATATCAGACAACAAAACCTTGAATTATGTTATGGGCAACATCACATTTATTTAAAACAAATGTTTTGAAGGTGAATTTTCCATATTTAGTTATATAATCCAGGAGTTCTTAACCTCTTTGTACTTTGGAGCACATTCTAAAATATCGGTTGGATGGCGAGCAATTTATAGTAAAACTAATCAATGCGAGCAAAACGAAAAAGATAAAAGCTGGGCTGGTTAAGATTTTTGTAATGTAGAATTTTTATCAATCTAAGACGTCATAGATAAAAAAGTTACTAAATACCATTCTCACTATTACTGGTAGCTGCGTGGTCTGATATATCTATTTACTCATCAAATTGTACAAAATGATTCCTCCTAGTCAGTGTTAAAATTATAGGTTAGTTATTTTTTACTCGGTCAACTCATTTTAGGACTAAAAAACCAAACCGTAATTAAACTAGAATATAATATCAATGTTATAGCTAGTACTGTCAGTAAAGAAATCACTAATACAGACAGCACCGCACACAAACGTATTTAATAAACAAAGGTATTTAAAAAAAAAATTAAAACTATCAAATAAAATAAATCACATTTTTAATTTGTGTTTTTGAACATTCTGTCTCGGTCAAATAATGGTGGGAACAAACGATTTGGGAACCTCTGATATATCCGATTTACCATTTTAAGTTACAGAATATTGTCATTTCTGCTGCGTTTTATTAATCCATTTATTATTTTATTTCAATTTTTTTACATTTCATCAATTAATTTTTTGCATTTTTAAAAACGCTCTTGCATAACGATCTTCCCTTCGATTTAAATATTTTGATATCGTCTCTATTTTATCATACTGTATCATTTTAAAAGATTTCCGTAATTTTTTAATTTCGTATTTTTAACTTGATTAGCATATAGAAAAATACAGATTGCTGACAAAATTGATATTTAAATTTATTTCTCGCAAAATCAACTGAACTCGATTTTCAAGGATGCTTCCCATTTGGAATGCAACAACGATCCAACGTTGGGTTTATGTTTTTATAAACGCTTTGAAAATCATCGCATTGTATTTTTTTTTATAAAATATTACTATATATTAGTAACCCAGCGAACGTTTAAGAACGTTCTGTAAACATTCATAGAACGTGCTCGAACGTACGTAACGTTTGTTGAACGTATTTAAACATTTTGTGTTAGCCGGGAAATATTACCTAAATCAGTATGATTGTTTGACGTGGTGTTAGGCGCAATGTGCTTTGCAGCATCTGAACGGGGTTCAAATCCCACTGATGGCAAACTTTTACTCTATGAACACGTTGCTTTCACATCAAAATTACAACGTTGATTAACTTTAAAATATCTAACTTTATAACGCTGGAAAATTTAACATTATCCATCATTTCCTATCCAACATTAATCCAACGTTATTAAAACCTAAATAATATGTGTGTTTTAGCATCCAGTTTTATAGAGTAAATTAACACATACAAATATTTATTGCTTGTTTTCATCAAAAACTCGTTTATAGAAATCTTTTTACTGTGGCAGAAAATTAAAAACGTAAAGCATCCGCTAAACTCCACTTTTTAAATATCAGTATTAAAAGTGCTGTGGTTTTATTGTCAGTATTACTATTATATTTAAGTAGTATATACAATCCTTTGTTTATGTTTTGGAATAAGTAGAAAAAAACTATTTATCAGTTAAACCAATACTTATAATTACTTTGAAAATGGCTAAAAAATAACAAGTTTAAAATAAATACACAAAAGTTCATAGTTATGCTTATAGTAAATTCAAAAAAAAAAAAGAGACATTTTCAGAAACCAATCCAGTAACATAGAAGTTTTCTTGGATGATAAAGTAATTGAATTTGATGGTTGCATGAAATAATTAGAAAATTAAATTAGAAATTTTACTGAACAAATCAAATAAATATCAAGTAAAATTGGAAAACAAACTTGCAAAGAAAACTATCAAATATTTAACTCAATGGAACAAATAACAATTCTTTTAAACCATTATTGCTCCTCGCTATAAATACTGTGCCTCTGTTTCTTTCTTGATATAAATAATAACTTAAACATAAAAAAAACTATAAAACGAACTCACAAGAATTATACAAAAATGTGACTGGTCAACTCGCAGAATAGTTAAAACGCAGAATTCCAGAAAGCTTACTTTAATACTTTATGATTTATGTCTTCCATATGGTATGTCCGCATATACGTCCGTACTAAGGTTACCCAAAAACATACGAATGCGTTCTAGGAAGAACGGGGTGTATAAGCAATTACGCACGTGGTTTGGCTTCCTAAAATTTTGATTTAATTTTTTTAACAAAGGCATTAAATTTCACTGTTTAAAAAAAACAATATTATTTTATGTAACGTATGTAAGTTGAATTAACTTTATTAAATTAATTATTTTTGTTTTTAATCTTTATGCGTTTAGGAAAAGTTGATTTTGTGATAAAAAAATGCGTACGTACGCGTGGTAGGAGGTGAAGTTGCGTGCAAAGAGGAGGGGTCCTAAATCAGTGGTTGTACTACGTATGTACTTTATGGATTAGATCAAACTTTTTCTTTTTTTTTATCTAAATATGTAGCTTTCAATAACGATATCTTTACAATTACAAATCACACTAAACTAATAATTTAGAATTTTTGCATTTATAATGTAAGCTTTTATTCTGCCTTGTTTTATCCTAATTAAAAGCAACATTTTTTTAGAGTTTTTGCCGCATTGCGTCCACTTCGCATCATATCTTTCGAAGAAATCCCAAACTTAAGACTTTCTCGGTATTAAAAAGTAGCTTGCACCTGAAAAATTTTTTTTTCAAATGTTTGATTTAAATTAAGAATAGTTTGGCTTTCGTCACGCATATATTAAACAAATTAAAACTTAGGATTCTGAGATCGAAATGCAGACAAACAACTCAAAAATGTATAACAACAACAATATAAGTTTCAGTTTTCAATACAAATTCTCAATAACTTTTTGAATTCTTGTTTAGCGTTTGTGAATTTTTAAGTGCTGATTACAATGAAAGTTTTTGTTTTGATCAGTTAGCTTAAAATTGACATTATAAAGCCCGACTTATCCAAGTTTTTATTTTTATCAGTAGATAGTTTTATTTGGCAATTGGTGAAATTTGTGAAATAAATAAAGCATTAGTTTATCAAATAATCCGAACTTTTGATTGAATTGTTTATTTTAATTTAAATCTAAATACATATGTTCATTGAATCGTTCAAAATAAACTTGCGCTTTTTACAATTCTTTTTGATTGCATAGCTTCACTACTTTTGTAAACTTTCACACACTCAAAAATAGTTGTTTGTTTCCGTACTCAAAAATAGTTGTTTGTTTCCGTAAAAGGAAGTCTTTTTATAGACAAAAAACTATCTTGAAAATTAATAAACTCCATAATTCCACACTTCTGAAACGAAGCCACATAACTAATGCTGCACTGATATAAAATTTGAAACACTTAAGACTTTTTTTTAACCCTCGCAAACCTGAAATATAAAAGTTGATAATTTGCTGGTCCAAGAAAGTCATAAAAGTAGAAAACTAAGGTTCATTAAAGAGATATAATTATTATTTTCACGTTCACATAATAAATGTACTAAATGATACAAAAAATCGAAAATAAAATCATGGCTATTTCCAGTATTGAATTCAACAATGCTGCATTCTGTATTTATATCAGAACTAATAAAGAGTTTACAAATTTCTTTGTTATGACGATTTTACATATAATTGGCACCATTTGTTAATATTATTTTTATTATTTTTGACAAGAAAATCTACAAGATGTAAACTTTTTGTTTATATATATAATTTCGAAAGCTTTATTTTTCCAAGTTTGTCATCAAATCTTCAGTTATTCCTACTTTTTTTAAATTACACCAGCTGGCAAACGTTCGAAAATAGCAAAAATCTGATGAAAATAAGTCCTAATAACA